GGGGGGAACAGGACAGACGGACAGGACAGCCGGACAGCGGTGCTGGGGGAGGGTTGGGGGGCAGAGCACAGACATGGGGGCGGCGGGGACAGGACAGACGGACAGCGGCTGCAATGCAGGCTGGGGGAGGAGGGTGTCCCCACTGCAGATGCAGAGGGCAGGCTGGGCCCTCAGCCCCGGGTGGGCGCTGTGCTGCTGGCGCCAGGAATGGGGCTGGACCCCCCAGCCCTTCCCGCAGGACCCACCTCCATCCACAGCGAGACGTTGTCCATCTTGAGCTCGGAGAAGGTGTCGTTCAGGTACATCTTGAGCCCGGCGGCTGCGCCAGCCACGGGGCCCAGGGATCCGGCGTTGTCCGACGCAGCCCCCAGGTACAGGGCGAAGTCACAGCGCGCGCCTGCCTCCGCCAGCTGCAGGGAGACAGGCTCAGACAGGCCCACGATGGGGTGCCAAGCCGGGCCTGGGCCAGCGTGTGGATTGTCCCCCCGGCCTGCAGCCCCCACACAGGGCCCCCCAGCACCTCCCAGATCCCCCAGCAGCTGCAGGGCCCACGCTGCACATACAACATTCCCCAGGGGGCTGAGGCTGGCCTGGCACAACGCCTGGCGCTGCCAGCTCCGTGTCTGAGTGGCACCTGCCAGGGCGGGGAGGGTGCGTGGGCTGGGGCGTCGGGGGGACTCTGCGCGGCACCTCAGGGGGGGGGGGGGGGGGCAGGGGCATTCACCTTCTGCACCAGGGCAAAGGAGCTGGCGTCGACAACGGCAGGGCGGGTGTTGGGCATGGCGCACACCATGGTGACGCCCCCCGCCAGGGCGGCCGCTGTGCCCGAGGCGAAGTCCTCCTTGTGGGTGCCGCCCGGCTCCCGCATGTGCACGTGCACGTCAATCAGCCCTGGGGGGGGGAAGAGGGGTCAGAGCAGGGACCACAGAACCCCCAGCCGGCGCCGCTGGCCTCGGGACTCAACGGGGGCAGTGTGAAGCCGGACAGTCCTGCTTCTCTCGGCTTTGT